GTCTAAAATGCCATGATTGGGCTTACGAGATATGTACTCCTTTAGACATAATATATTGCGACGATTGTGTCCCACTAAATCAACTACCAAGTAACTCCAGAGCTCTGGAGATATGCGATTTATTAGCCTCGTTGTATCACTTAATAATACTTGTTATGTTGTCAGGATTACATACTTGCTTCTAACCGAAAAAAAGTTGTTCAATCTTTACGAAAAGAGCATGTCGCCATACTTATTCCACAAAGCATGATGCCATATCACCTATAGGTGCGGGTAAAATGGCCACAGCGTATCATGCGACCTTTTTGCTTGTAACCGTTCTTCAGTCTGGGATTATGTCAACGAGCATTTCACGTCACATACTCAAATTTACACGCTTTAAGATGCCGCTTTCTCCTTGTGGTTGGGTTGGTTGCTTGTTAGAATGTGAGCTTTTGAAATCTATATTGCCATATTCCCCCACTTTACTCAATAGTGATGTGCTACCGCGTTGAGTAAGAGCCTTCGCACACTACGTCGTATCGTAACCGTATCATAATCATAATACGCGCGTAGGACGAGAGCAAAACGAGCACGTATATGTGCTAACAAGTCTGCACACGAAACGGTGTTGCAGCGAAGCGGATGAGATGTTCAGTGTCATTACGATAGTCGTAGCGGTCTGGCGTAAGGCAAGCTCCTTCCTCATTCGATAAGAATTTATTATCATCTTCTGAACGTTCAATCCTTTCTTCCCATTACTTGCGATGTATAGATGGATCCACTGACCACGTCGCTTTCTACTTTGAACATAATCAAACATTAAGGAATCCTCTTCGTCTGAAGAAAATCTAAGATCATCAATGGATATACCTGAACATCTAGTTCTTACAAAACGATACGTGAACGTGACGATGTGTGGAACACTGCAGGTCTCGTAAGCGTTACGTCGTAACGATACACTTATAATGCATGTGCGAAGGCCCTAAGTATTACGAATTTTGTCGCCAGGCCAGTTGTTTAAAACCGTACATAGTTCCTCTTTGAAAACCAATTCGGTCAGAGTTAGGAAAACTGAAAACAACTTCCGACAATACACAAGCAACTACCTCCCATTCAGTGGCAACGTTATCTTGAATATACAGTGCTCTTTTGTTTTTTTTGAACGGGTAAAGTTAGCAAGCTGAAATAGAGGGCGATAAAATTGTTGAATGGATGCTATATTTAACCCAAAAGGGGCCGTTGGAAATTTCAGGATGGCGGCAGCGGCAGGTTACCGTCTTAGACCATTTTCGAAGAAAGAAATGATGCAAGCGTTACTGTGGATGATGTGTGGCGAACGACTGAGTGGTTATAGTGAGTATGCCATTGCTGAAGAGTGCTACACTTCAGGCAGGAAGTGCCGGCAGGGCAATATTCTCGAGTTTGTCTGCCTGAGAGTGGCTATAAAAGCTTGCTCCTGTAAAAAAAAATGAAACGATGGATCATATCGTCGGCCTCCGCGCGTTCCGGCGTAACTAACATTTTACAAATTTTACAGGGGATGTAGAAAACGGAAATTAGCAATTAATAAGATTGAAAACGACATACTGATTTTTTAGTTTGTACGTTGATAGCAAAATAGCTTTTTATTAGACTAAAATTATGTAGAACTTTGGTTTGGGATAGTGTAACTTTGTAAAAGTAAAATGAGTTTTTAAAAAAAAATTTTTTTTACACATTTATGCCACTTCGTAACGACTTTCGTTTCTTTTATCGTGTAGTTACGTCAACAATTTAAAACTGGACATGGGTATCAAAGTATCGGAAATACTGTTTCAACAATAAAAATTGTTTTATTCTCTACCTAATATTATAAGTACAAACAAAAAGTAAATAAAAAAAATAAACATTTTGTTCAAGTCGACATTCACAACAACACAACCATATTTAGGTTAAGTTTACGTATCTGCCACTGAAATATACGCCGGTACGTGCTGTATAATTATCGGTCAAATACAAAAAACCAGTTTGAACGTAGAGGTGTAAATCTATTTAAGCTCGTACGTGACAATTGTTTTCGGAATTTTATCACTTACGCAACTGTTTAAGAATTGTATTTCCAAGCAGTTACGTCACTTCGTGAAGTGACGAACTACAAAAAAAATATGTGAAATTCCGTCGTAACTCGATTTTAGATTTTTTTTTGTCATTTACGCCTGTACGTGCAGAGACCGACGATGTGATATCTCATTTTAAAGCTCTTTATGAGTACCTCATAACACTAAGATGTGAAGTAACTGAAATAAGTGTACAAAGTGATGGACCGCTTTGTACATTCAATCGCTTGTAACTCAAAAATCAATCATCAACACGTTAAATTACCTGAGTCATACCAATATCCTGCTTATAAGAAGGTCTATTTGAATGTGCAATAAAATATGGAACATTCCATTCCATCTGTCATTTTTTAACTGTTATATTCCATATTTCATTGCACTCTCATTCTTCACTTTCACTTTCATTTGAAAACTTCCCACCACGAATTTATTGAAAACCACTGATTAAAAGAAAAAACGCCGAGACCCGTCAAAAGATTTGTCAAAGGGACAACTGTTTAACCAAAAACTACTTCACCCCCTTTCATACTCTGCCCTCCAGGGTCATCCCCTTAAAAATTTCAAATGACATGAGGTATCGAGAAATAGCTTGTTTGAAAGGTCTATCAAAGTCCTTTATTTTGACGTTTGACTTTTCAAAACGGTCGATTCGTTTTCAATAAAATTAGAAAAATCTTTATTTATCTTAAGTTGTTCAGAGAGAAAACAAAAACACACGAAAATGTCACTTTTTATTTTCAATAAGTGTTCAAAATGTTGCCAGTAATTGGCCAAACAATCCTGACGGACATTTTCAAAAACAAGTTGTGGGATATCATGGCAGCTTTAAATGATGCGTTGACGAAGTTCATCCAAACTTTCAGATTGAGAGGTTTCAAATGGCCCCATAGAAGAAAGTCGAATGGCATCAAATCAGGAGATCTAGTAGGTCATTCTACAGGCCCTATTCACCCTATCCATTTATCTGGAAATTCGTCGTCTAGCCATTACCGAACAGAAAGAACATAGTGAGGAGGAGCGCCGTCTTGCAGGAAATACATTTCAGCCTGATCCAGTATAGGGTTTCCATCCTCTTCGATTTGGTTTTCAATGGTTTCAGTGATAAGCGGATTGATGGTATTTTCCAACATATCCAAATAAATGTCTCCATTCAAATTTCCAGTAATAAACAATGGCCCAATCACTTTATTTCCTAAAATGCCTGCCATTACATTAATTTGTTGGCGTACTGGGTATGCCATTCTATAAAAGCATGAGGATTTTAATTGCTTCAATACCTGCAGTTATGCTTATTAACCAATCAACTTAGATAAAATGTGCATTCATCACTGAAGCAGATATTCTTTACATCAATGGTATTATCGTTAATCGCTGTAGTCATTTGTTCACAAAACTCAACTCGCCTATCAAAAACATCTTCGGTTAAGTCTTGCAATATTTTCATTTTGAAGGGATGACATTTATGGAGATTAGTAACTGTGTGTAGAGAGCATAATGCAATACCAGTCGCCGCAACAATTTTGTGTAATGAAGTATTAGCATTTATTCCAAAATGACCCAAAACTTCAACTTGAGCGGCTTCATACAAACCTCTCCGATGATCAAGTTTTTTATCTGAAACAGATCCAGTTTGAGTAAAACTAGTAACAAGGTCCAAAACATACCTATGCGAAGTTATCTTCCCCGGATGTCTGGCCTTACACGTGACGGCAGTTTGCCGAGCACATTGATTTTGGGCATCATAAATTAGAATCACTTTCGCTACTGTGTAAACCATTTTAAAAGTAAAATCTGTATCAATAAGTTAATTTTCAATATCCCAAGATTTTCACAAAGATAACTGACAGCAAATTAAGTTCTTTCTTTGTATACCCCTCTGAAAGAAGAATATTGATATGACATGCTATAGCGTTTCGATCTAATTAGCGATCTAATGCACAAAGACGCTTCGACAACCTGATAGTCCGCCATTTAAACAAAAAAAGATATAAATGTGTATTCTAGGGTTAGGAAATACTTATGGAGAGCATGAAAATCGCATATCACACGACTCCCCATTCTATTAGAAAAATCGAGATGATGCCCAGCCGTCATATCCAAATTTTCAACTATTTTTTTTTTTTACCTTGAATATTGCATTCTTACATCAATTTCATCACCCTGAATTTCAGCTTACTAGCTTCGCCCATTTCAAAAATATGTAGGCGGGCTTTTTGGCTTACAAAGGAGAATGAGTCGATTGAAATACTTAAAACAAGTGATTTAGGTTTTCATAACACAAGATTACTAAAGTAGCAAGGGAGGAAGACAGCCTCAGACAGACTCCTTTAACGATAATATCTAGCCTTCGGCAATTCCCTAAAAAGGCTCCATAGAGAATTGCCGAAAGCTAGAGATTACCGTTAAAAGAGTTAACTAAAGCATAAGAAAATTTGCCAATTTCCCAATTAACAATTAATTGTATATACGTATATACAGGGTGACTTTGAAGTTGAGTCATTAATTTTCAGATAATGATTGTAGAAGGAAGATAAACCAAAATATGTGTGTAAAAATAAAAAAAAAAAATAAAAAAATGTTTACCTTGTTTTATAAAGTATCCTCCCGACAAGTATTTCAGTGCGGACCTGTATTTGATCGTGCGGTCTTGGAGCACCGGCATGCCCTCGCCTGTGAGGTCTTAAGTCACCTGATTCACGAGCCCTTTGTACTACATTAACAAAGGGACGAGGGGTTGGTTGCACTCGATTGGGAAACCGATCCGCATAAATCCGTGATGCCGCGGCAGCATTTTGTAATACATATATATATATATGTCTATTTTTTTTATTCTATGTTTTCTGTTCTGATAAACATTCGACCGATGGATCGATCACACTGTCTTTTGTATGCTTCCAATAATCTATAATCAATGATTTTTAGAGTGTTGAATCGGCTGTTTAAATTAATCAATCGTGAGAATAGGAAATACGCATACACATATAGTATATCTAATCTAAAGAAATATTGAAATACTGAGCTCTATCAGTGTTAAGTGTGACGCTTATGGAAAAACTCTGTTTCATATATTTTTATACGTCTTACCTATATGGAACTTTACACCTTTTTTGACTCCTGTTTTTGCTGTTTCAATTAGTATTAGAACGACAATGAGCTGTATTCATAAAAGAGAAGCATATCCTCGGAAGCATAAGGTAAAAGTATAAGGTCTTGCTTCGGAGAAAAAGGTAGAAGTATCAGCATATCCTTGTTTTCATATTCATAATGATTACCTTATACTCACGAGGATATCCTCCAAGAAGAAGTAAAAGGTTGACTGGTATTTGTATCTTGAGCGACATGTCCTGACTTGTTCCAGCTTGTAGTTGACGTGGGAGTTCGTTCAGTCAGCATGACTGACAGTTGTACTCCAGAGCTTACACAGACCTTTTCGTATTTTTGCTGGATACAGTTTTTTATCAAATTAATAAGCATGTCATCCTCAAGTGATGAGGATATAAAATAATGGCAACGACCTGCAGTTCATCGCAGATGAAATTCCCATTGCTCCCATTATTTTGCAAAAGTCACAAGTTCCAAAAATAAAAATGAGAAAAGGCGATGCCTTGAAGAAGATGTTGAAAAAATACGAATCAAAATTCGGTAAACCATTACGTACTAAAGCCTTCTTAAAAAAACAACAACATGAAATCAAGATTGAAGAAAAAAACAGTTCTAAAAAAAAACTGGTAATAAAGTAATTAAATTGTTAGATTGGGAAAGAAAGTTGCTGAAAGCTATGGAAGGTGACTATAATCCTAAAATTGGGATAATTACAGGTGCCATTCAGGTTGGTAGTGTTCAAGAAGAAGGAAGTGAACTATAGACCGAGCGCAGTGAGCAAACAGTTAGTATTACAGCGCCAGCAATTCAGAAGACATTCTCACCAAAAAGAAAATTAGCAACAGAGAAATACGAAACTGAGGAAACCAAAGGGTTAGCTACAACTACAAAACAACTGCAACGTCTAATGCTATTACATCAGTACCAAACAAGTATTTTACAACAAGAGTATTATAAAACGAAATTAGAAATTATGCAGCGTCAGAAGCCAGCTGTAACTTATGAATTTCAGGAAAATTAAACTTATTATAACTTATAAATACACTTTAATCAGTAAACCTATTTATTATAATACTCAAGTTTTTTATTTGTTGACCTAGTTGGCGGATAGGAAGCTCGTCATTCTCATGATTTCCTCCATCTTCATATGGGTCTTGTTCAACTAACTCAAAGTCAGGATCGCCCAAGCTCTTCGCAACATTATGGAGTACAATACAAGCAATAATTATTTTCGGCACATTTTCCAACTTTACGCGGCAAACCGGCGTTTCAGTTTGCCGAAACAGCGTTCAATTATAACTCTTTCTTGTTTTAAAAGCTTATTATCATTTATTTCTGCACCTGGAGTAGGATTTCTGAAGGGAGTCATCAGGCATGGCTCAATATCATAACCATCATCGCCAAGTAGTACAACATTTGCTTCATTCATCACTTGTGATCTAGTCTGTGAATTTCTCCATATTCTGGAATCATGCACTGATCCAGGCCAACTGACATCAACACTTGTGAACATCTCTCTGGCATCACAAGTGGCTTGCACATTTAAAGTAGGTTTTCCTTTTCGGTTGATATACTCATCTCTATGGCGATTTGGTTTCAGGATTCCTATATGTGTACAATCAATTTCACCAATTGCTGTCGGAAATTTATACATGCTTTGCCATATCCGCTTGGCCTCCATCAGTTCATGGTTGGTAGTTGGAAACTTGATCCATTCGTTCGACTGTGCACCTATGCTGTTCACAGCTCTATCCACAGTCCAAGTTACCGTTGCTTGACTAACAGCAAGTTCCTGGCCAATACCTTGTTGATATCCAGTGTCACCGAGATAGCGTAGACATATCTTCATTTTATGAATACATGAGAGTGCTCCTCCTCGAGTTTCCTCATTCTCAACTAAAAATCTGTCCGCGAGTCACTTTACATTTGCTTCGACGAACCGATATAATTTTTTGAAGTCACGACCAAGTGAAGGTAAACGAGGTTTGTACGTTTTAACATCCCTAGCATCCACAATTTCCGCCATCATCGTTTCACCACCTTTCGTTACGAAGTTGAGTCTGCTACTAACCAGACTCAGAATTTTTGGAGGATATGCTTCCAATGCCAAGTATAAGGTAAAGATTATGAATATCCTTTTACTTACATATGGCACTGTTTTGAAGGATATGCTTATACTCAAAAGGCATTTACTTCAAATTATTCTAAATACCATCTGGAGGATTTCCTTCAAAATTTGCAAGTACAAGGATATCCTTTGTTTTATGAATACGGCCCATTATCTCGCCAATTCACTATGCAGCTGATTTCATCGTAAAGTGAGTCAAAAAGATAGTAACTAACATAAGTTACAACTTATCAAGACTAATCAAGACTAATAACAATGCTAGGCTATTCATCAACCCAATTTTCTCGATGTCAAATCTATTTAAAAATGTCACCTCTACTTGTCATCAGGGGAAATATGACGGCACAACGGTATACCTAGGAGATACTGGAACTTTCTACAAACTCTTGCAAACCCAATTTTCCAACAAGATAATTCCCGTCGCGATATATTGTTAGGGCTACAATGAGCTGCCGTACCAATGATCAAGTCAACCTCCTTTCTTGACCTCCTAGACCTATAGATCTTCCACCCATTGAATGTATGTGAGATATGTTGGGAAGAAGATTGACCTATTTACCGTATCATCCACCAACGGTAGCCGCTGCATAAAACCTAGTACAGCTAGTTTGGGATGAAATACCTCAAAAATACCGCAAATGTTTTTGCTTCAAAATTAAATCGCTACTTCTTTTGGCTTATGCCTGACTGTATACAAAATTTTAACCAAATTAAATAATTTCTAGGTGTTATCTGCTCTCTGCCACTCATTCTATCGTCGGTCCAATCGCAACTACGATAGAGCGGTTTTTGCTGCTTTGTCGCTCTAGAACGGTGAAGTTCAGATCAGCTATAGGGAAAAGCTTTTCGTAACGCTCGGGATATTGAATGATTGATCACTTGCCACTATGTACTAAATCGAGGCCTGTCTAGGATTATTTTAATATAAAACCCCTTCATTTGGCTTAGATGCACGAAGTTTCCCGGTCTAGGATTTTCAGGCTATTCCTGTAATCTTGTATGAAGTGCGGTTGAGAGACGAGAGGTAAATTGTAATTTAAGTAAGGCTCGATGTTGTTATTAGAAGATTATGATGAAATTCCAGGCGCTAGAGATGCATGAATTTATGCACATGTTGCATTTCCCAAGAGTAATCATCCGCTTGAGTTGCACATATAGTAGGACAGAGGTTCTCAAACTTATTTCGTCTACTGTCCACCTTGAGGATCAATTGCTTTCACGCGTTCCCCGATATTACTTTAATTTAAATATACTTAGTGTGACAAACATACATTGGAGAGCTTGAAGCAATTGATAAATTTGATAAAAAAAATAATTTCCATCTAAGAGCACCCTTGATGTAGGTACCTATGTCCAAAGCTGATTTTTTGACAATTCGATGACAGATATCGCAATAATTTTAAAATAGCATGATTAAACAACCACGATGTCCTGCATATTTTGACGTGAAGGAAGTTAAGCGGCTTAAATTATTCTAAGATGATGAAAGCAATGGGTGTTTCAATCATAGAAAGAGCAAATATGGTTCTGGATTTAGTTCAGATGAAAGTGTGAACGGCAGGCATTATCCTCCGACTGTTAGCAGTTCTGATAGAGACTCTGAGCGGGTAACTCAGGTGAATAAATAAATTTGAAGCTTATGACTATTCTGCCGTTATTGATGTAGCTTATGTTGTTGTTACGTAGGAAAAATATTTTTGTATTAACTTGATAATTATTAGAAACTGATTTCAAGCCTTCTATTTATCAGAGTATATAATTATTGAGGCGTGGAAATTCAAAGGCGTCTAAGTGCCAAAAAGTGATTATTGAGTTATTAAGGTTTTTTTTATAACAAATTAATTAGAAACAAGTGTATTGTAGTGAGAAATATTTTATTAATCGGTAATAAGTGTAAATACAATGACATTTCAAAAAAATTTAAAATAGAGAAAACTTTTTGTACAAAAAAATACCAAACTTATAAAGCTAAGAAACAGTCTAAGTGCCAAAGTAACAGGTTTAAAAACATCTATGTTCCAATTAAAGGTACTTAAAAAAAATAAAAACACGAACTTTAAGTTAATTAATTCTCATTTTAATTTCTTGGCATTGTCAATCAAATTTTTCCAATAACTTGAATATTTTAAAGGTATATACTCTAGCATATCCTCAATGCTTTTAATTTTCTCAGCCGACATTCGATTTTTGCATTCGACGAGAGGTAGTTCTACTACTATGTCTTGTATCCGTTTTCGCTTCTTTAACGCATTGCATTGGGTATATTCTTCCAATTCATTGAAAGATTTCTCCGTTTTCACCATATTGGGATTTTCTTTATTAACCATAATCCACGTAGCTTGGGATATTTTGTAGTATTCAACACATCGTCAGCAAGTGACTGAATGTATTTAAAGTCTTCCGATTTCATCGTTAAAGCTTTAAAAGGATTTTTATAACATGCATTCACTATCATTTTTTTATATTATCTGGTGTGAAGGCTTTTGTTACCTTTTTCGCTTCTCGATTTGAGCGAAGTCTCGATCGCAAGCAAGATTCGAATGTCCAGAAACTAAAAATTTCTGTTTAACTTGCTCATATACTCCCGAAGTCACCAAGCATATTAACAGCAAGAGTATTATTTTATTTTTATTTTGACCAATGCAGTTATCACTCCATATGATCAAATTTTTCTTTCTTGGAAAATCCCTCTGTAATAAATAAAACTTTCAAA